GGGGGTGGGGGGGGAAGCACCTCCCACAGCCAAGATGCCATTTGCCACTGCCGAGCGTGGGTTTAGGCGCCTCTTGGAGGCACCGGCAACCAACCTCTTGCGAGCATGCTTCTCAGCCTCCCGCACAGCTTTCATCCCGCGCCTTTCTCAGCGTCGCCCCTCGGAGTCGCCGCCGTTCCTGCTGCCATCCGGAGCACAGTCTCACACTCCACCAGCTTGCCGCCATGCCCAAGAATAAAGGTAATGACGCCGGGACAGTGGCCGCTCCCCGCCGGCGCGTCCCTGGTCCAGCTCGTGGCTTCGAGGTCAGCCCAGGCCATACTGACCTTCCTGCCATCTTTCCTTGCTTCTTCTCTGGCTGCATTCTCTGCGTCCTACTTGGAGCTCGGCAGAGGCGCAAGGAAGTTACTCCTGGTTCCCAGTTTGGCCACATTGGGGTGGAGCCGACGCCATTTTTTGTAGGGCCTCCTGTGTGAGAATGTGGGCTTGTGCCCCTGATTCGCGCCACACTGACCGCGGCGCCAAGGGGACCCGTGGGAACACCTGGCTCGGGCTTCTTGGGCTTCTGGCACGTGGGGAGTTAAGCCCTTGGAGCGACTCTGAACTTTGAAAAGCAGTAATCGCTGCTTGCTTTCGTCCCCATCTGGTACCGCCTGCATAGGCTTCTTTATGGACACTTACTTAATACTGTTAGAGCTGCTCCCAAGTAGCCAGTGGTCAGTACTTTGATGTACCTTTTTTTCGAGACATAGTTTCTCAATGTAACAGCCTTTTCTGTCCTGGAACTCAGAGGTATCCAACTGCCTCTGCTTCCCAAGTGCTGGGATTAAAGATGTGCGCCACTACCGCCCGGCTACTTTGATTCATTTTTAAAGTTACCTCGAGAAAATGTTTCACTCCGTGGCGTTACAGGGCTTAACCTTATTTAGCCAACTTTTCCGCTTTTGCTTCAGATCATGTATCTGTTTTGATGGAAAAAATAGAAACCTTTGAAGTTCCTTCTATTCTGGGAACAAATGTTCTCAAATCAGTAACAAAGTTACTTTTCATTTGGGATCTCCAAAAGGAGCCTAATCTAAGTGGAAGTACAACATTCTTAGGTCATTCTCATTTTTATATAGTTACAATATTCTGTGGTAATGGGTTTTTTGTAGGAACAAATCTTTCCTTAGCAGGACCTGTTTTTCCTCTGTCCCCGGGCTAAACCAGAGCTCACTATACAACAGCCCAGACTAACGTTGAACTTGGGATCCTCCTGCTTCAGCTTCCCAAGTAGCTCCAATTACAGGCTTGCCGTAGTCGTTGCCCTCATAGTTCCTCGAAAATTGTTCAAGTAAAAATAGCAAAAAGCTTGTATTTCCTACAGGAGAGGAACACATTACCCAGCCCTTGGGCGAGTCGATGGTGGCTCACGCCTTTAATCCCAGCACTCGGGAGAGAGGGCTGGTAGGATCTCTGTGTTCCTGGATAGCCAAGGCCACACACAAAAAAAAACCCTGTCTCGAAAAACCAAAATGATAAGATAAAAACTAAGTTTTCTTTGTGCAGAAGAGATGCCTTCCAGGGAAAAAAAATGGGTTCCCACACCCATATAGGGCAACTCATGACTGCCTGTAACTTCAGCTCTAGGGGATCCAGTGCCCTCTTCTGGCCCACGTGGGCACCCCACTACTCACACTCTCCCCCCATCCCCTCCCTCTCTCTCTCTCTCACACACACACTTTTATGAAGTCTTTTCGCCTCCCTTGCCCCATGCCTGCTAGTCTACTCTTTGTACCTGTCACTTTTCACATTAGCCCTCTGAGTACTTGGTCACAGTTTTGTGAACAAATTGATTTGCGATAACCTTGCTATGTGGCCCAGGCTAACCTTGAACTCACTGTCCCACCCTGCTTCGGGGCTTCAAAAATCAAAGTGGCCAGTCTTTGTGTAGTGAGGATTTTTTACTGATTATCCAGAGAAAAGTGTAATTATAGGCATAATATTTTCAGTTTTAAAATTCCTGTCCGTAGACTTCTTTGTTCTGAGATGGCAACTGGATCACTTCAATAGGTGAGGTATCTTATTCTCACCTTAATTCTAGTGACTAGATTTCCAGTTCCCATGCTAGTTGTCAGCCCTAGAAGGACAGGAATGGTGATGGTCATAATCACATTGGCTTGATAGCACTTAGGCTAAAAAATGCTCAATAAATATTTGTTGGACTTACTCATCTCCCTTCTGGTGACTCCGCCCATAGGTGAATAGTAGGTTCCCCTTGGTCCTAAGGACAGAACTTCCACACTAAATTACTCCTAGTCACTAGCCTCATATTTTAAGAAAGATCTTACCTGGGCTGTTTCTATGAAATACCTCCATGGTTTGAGAACTGATTGAGCTTAAGAACTAGTCATTTAGAAAGAAGCTGGGCGTTGGTGGTGCACGCCTTTAATTCCCCGCACTCAGCAGGCAGAGGCGGGCGGATCTCGGATCGCTGAGTTTGAGGCCAGCCTGGTCTCCAGAGCGAGTGCCAGGATAGGCTCCAAAGCTACACAGAGAAACCCTGTCTCGAAAAACCAAAAAAAAAAAAAAAGAGAGAGAAAGAATGGTTATTGTATTTATTGCTGTTTTGTCATGCACTCAGGCTCTGTCTCACTCATTATTTTTTTGTTTGTGACAGGGTCTCACTGTGTAGACCAGGCTGGCCTTGAACTCGGAGATCGCCCTGCTCTGCCTCCTGAGTGCTAGGGTTAAAGGTGTGCACCAACATATCTGACCTTCATTTGAAGAGCATTTTATTTCATGGCAATAAAATAAAAAGGAGAACAATGGCCGGCAGTGGTGCTCAAACCTTTAATTCCAGTGTTCGGGAGGCAGAGGCTGGCTGATCTCTGTGAGTTCAAAGCCACCCTGGTCTACAAGAGCTAGTTCCAAAGCAGCCAGGGCTACACAGAGAAACCCTGTCTCAAAACCAAAGGGGGGGTGATAATGATTACAGGCAAGCATCAGTATACCTATCATACTGGTTTTATTTGCTGGGGAGGTTCAGGTATGGTTCGTTTTAAAGACAAAAGTTCAGAATCTTTAGCTGTTATTAGTCTTCTATCATGACTCAATATGTTCTATTACAGTAGCGATAGCTTCATTTTTCTCTCTCCTGTCATCTTTTTACCAGCTCTTCTTTCATAGGGGATCAGCTATGAGTAGGGCAACGTATTTTTTTCTAAAATTTATTAGGACACAGTATGGTAGCTCACTCTTGTAATCCCAGCATTCAGGAGGCTGAGAGACATTTCAAAGGTAGCTTAGACTATAGTGTGACACCCTGTCCATCGTCACCCACCCACCCCAAAAATGCTGGGGCCCATATGGTTAAAATTGTGACAGAATTCTCCAGAAAGGAACCCTAATATGAGAGCTCTAGTAGGACAGGGGATTAGGGCTGGATCTGGTGCCCTAAGTACATTAACTAACATTTTGAGTGAGTTATTTAGTATCTGAACTTTAGTGAACTTACTGATAAACTGGGAATAAATAACTGTAAATAGTCAAGGTGATTGTGACAAGTAAGTAGATGGCATTCTCAAATAGTAGTTACAAGCATGGTCATTGATCATCTAGCCACTCCTAAGAGCTGGTCCCATGCCCAGCAGTAGATGGCAAACACAAAAGGAACTCAATGGCATCTTTGTCTTTGGAGGTTCTTTTATCACATGTCCTGTCAGAGATTTTTGGGTTTTTGAGCAGGGTTTCTTTGTGTAGCTTTATAAACCAGGCTGGCCTCAAACTCAAAAGATCCGCCTGCCTCTGCCTCCCAGGTGCTGGGATTAAAGGCATGTGCCTCCACCGCCGGACTCAGAGCTTTTGGTTTAGACTAGCTGAACCCCCATCTCTCTCTCTCTCTCTCTCTCTCTCTCTCTCTCTCTCTCTCAGATCCACCTTCCTCCGCTTCCCGAGTGCTGGAATTAAAGGCATGCGCCACCAACGCCCAGCAGAGCTTTTGTTTTCTAAACACCTTACTTGACAACTCCTTTGCTTATATATTATGGCTTCTGGGTGTGGGTTTTTATGGGATTCCTGTGCGTGAGAATGAATGTGTGTGTCTCTGTGTCTGTATGCACTTCTTTGACTTTCTTGTTGTGGTTTTGCCGTATTCCAATTTGTTTGTTTTTTACCTATCTTATTGTGTCTTATTTTATTATTCCTTAGATGCCTGTTCATTTTCTCATGAGACACAGAAAGGGGGTAGATTCAGATGGGAGGGGAAGAAGGGAGGGAGTTAGGGGAGACCAGAATATATTATATGAAAAACATTTCAATAAAAGAAAAATGAGGATGTTATTTAAGATGCAAACTCCCCAAAGAAAATTCCATGAGGATCAAGGAGGGTAACAAGGTAACATTATACACCTGAATATGGTAAATTTAACATGATTGATGACATTAGATGAATTTTTAAATTTAATTTGACTTTTAAAGATGGTTTTCTAAGTCTGTTAAACAGTGTATGTTTAGCACTGTTTATGTTTTGCAGATAACCAATAACCTTTTCTTTAACAACCCACTAGGAAAAGGAGGTAAAAACAGACGTAGAGGAAAGAATGAGAATGAATCTGAAAAGCGAGAGCTGGTGTTCAAAGAGGATGGGCAAGGTAAGAGGCTGGATAAGTTGGGCTCTTGTTAGATTTTTCTATTTGTCTGCTTTCCTGTGTTGGGGACCAAACATTTTCTGAATTTCCAAGAATAATTCAGCAAGGATATCGCTACCATTTAAATAAAGTACTTGTACTGAAGATTCCATGAGATAGCTCAAAAGATTCAGAGAGAAATAAGGATACAAAACAGGTAAAGATCTGAATGTGAGCTTTATGAGGTATAGTGTACATACAACATGGCACCTTTGATCTCTAGGAATAGAATGTAGTCACAAGGGCAGTAGTCTGACTCCTTACTAAAAATGAGTAGATAATTAAAACATCTAATAACAGAGCCAGGTTGTTTTATTACGAAGTTTTGTTTCTGGTTCAACCATTAACTAGCTGAGTGTTTAGCTCCCTTCTGTTTATTTTATATTTGCCCTATGTATTTTTATCCCTAACCAGTGCAGCCACATGTTCTTGTCAATCTTCAGTGGACATACTTAGTTGCTTTCATCAAAAAAGTGAGCAATATTTCATGCCTTTTTTCCTCCCCTACTCCATCCATGTAGAATATGCTCAGGTAATCAAAATGTTGGGGAATGGACGATTGGAAGCAATGTGTTTCGATGGTGTAAAGAGACTGTGCCATATCAGAGGGAAATTGAGGAAAAAGGTAAGGGTGTGGACAGAACACTTATTTTATTCTAATATGAAAGTATTAAGGAAAGGAGGGTAGAGGAAATGTCTCTACAGGGGTGTGTGTGTGTTACAGGGAAGCCATCTCCCACCTCAGGGCCTCTTAACAAGTTAAGCACAACCACACTAACAAATCTAATTTGAGGAACATTCTGAAAATTTAAAAAAAACTGGCATTAGAAAACGTTGATGTGACAGGGTGTTTGTGGCACACGCCTTTATTCCCAGCACTTGGGAGGCAGAGGCAGGTGGATCTCTGAGTTTGAGGCCAGCCTGATCTACAGAGCGAGTTCCAGGACAACCTCCAAAGCTACAGAGAAACCCTGCCTCAAAAAACCAAAACAGGAAAGAAAGAAAGAAGGAAAGGAAGAAAATGTTGATGTTGGGCTGGAGAGATGGCTCAGCAGTTAAGAGCACTAGCTGCTCTTCCAGAGGACTTGGATTCAATTCCCAGCACCCACATAACAGCTCACAACTGTCTGTAACTCCGGATCCAGGGGATCTGACACCTTCACACCAGTGCACTTAAAATAAAGTTTAAAAAGAAAAGAAAATGTAGATATTATGAAAGAGGGAAAGGACTCGAGAACTATTCCAGTGCTAAGGAGAACTAACACCTGGCAAATGGCCCTTTGGGTTCTGGGAAGTCCCAACTCTTGAGTGATAGTTCAGGGTGAGAGTTTTATTTTAGTGATAACAGTCCTTCACAAGGAAAATGGTTGTGAAAGCTGTACACATCTGGGTGGGTGGGTAAAAGACAGAAAGAGAGACTTAGAAAACTACATTTTTCTGTTTTCATAGTATATAGCCAAGTGAGTTGGGAATCACCTGTTTCTAAGTGAATCACCTGGAATTTCTTGGTTCTGCTTTATTTAAGGTATGTTATACAGTGGCTTTTCTTTTGTAGGTTTGGATAAATACATCAGACATCATATTGGTGGGGCTCCGAGATTACCAGGTAAAAATTACTTTAAAATTTGTTGTTGATTTACTTGAACTTGATGAGCCATTTCCTAAGAGCCCTTTGTATTTTAGGCATGATGCTTGGTGTCCTTGGTATTATGGTTCCCAAATACCAGTCTAAGGAGTCAAATAATTAGTTTTTATACAGCAACATGGTCTTTCTATCTTTACTATTTGAAGTTTCCCCTTGTAGAATAAATAATACACGGCTGGAGAGATGGCTTAGTGGTTAAGAGCACTGGCTGTTCCTCCAGAGGACCCAGGTTCAATTCCTAGAACCCACATGGTAGCTCACAACTGTCTGTAACTCCATTTCCAGGGGACCTGACACCCTCATACCAATGCACATAAAATAAAAATACATGAGAATAGATGATACTACTATGTGGTATTTTTGTTTTTTAGTTCTCTAATTTTTACTTTATAGATCTTTTAAAATTTAGGAGCCATTATTGTTGGGTTTTACAGCTGAATGAATCCAGTTATATCCGACAAATGGCATAGCCTGGTATATTTGTTTTCTAATCACTGACAGAAACAAAAAGAGGTGAGAATTTATTTTGACTCAGTTTGAGGGGACAGTCCTTCATGGTGGTCATAGTAGCAGGAACTTGAGACAGCTGATTAGTCGCTCATGTACGTGCTCTCTCACTCTCCATGTGCTGCGATTGGGTCTCTGAGGATCCCTTGAGTTCCTGATCCTCCTGCCCCTAATCAAATGCTGGCATTACAAGTGTGCACCACTATTATTGGCCTCATTACATTTCTATTTGTATGGCTCTGATCATACTTAGTTTTTTAATTTGGGGTTTCAGATTAAAACGTTAACATCTTTGTTTCAATCCATAGAGTTCTCTGTGGGTGATTTGACTCTTCAGAGGGGCAAAGGAGGTGTGTGGAAACTATTCTGGTACCATAGTCTTAGTCAGTGGTAGGTGATGTGGAACACCTTCTAATGCACAGCATCCCACAACAAAGATGATCTGGCTCCAAATTAACATTAGTTCTTTGGTTGAGAAAAGCTGCTCCAAATTCATAAACCATGTGGGTTTTTTTTAAGCTCTTAACAGTAACCCTAGAAGAAGGAAGGCTTAATTCCTTGTTAGAAAGGACAAGAAAATTCAGACAGGCTTAACACTAACTCTAATCTCCCCTGATCCTTTCTCTGTCTTCTGCCACTTAGTGGGTATTCCAGAGAGATTGTGGCATTACTGTCTTCTAGGAGGTTGGAAGAAATGCAGCTTCTTGGGCCAGAAGATATGGCTTAGCCATTAAGAGCACTTACTCTTACAGAGGATCTGGGTTCAATTTCAACTACACCACACTAGTAGTGCCATGTCTGAGGCATCTGATGTCTCCTGACTGTTGCGGGCACCAGGCACTCATGTGGTGGACATACCAGTCAAAACATTCAAACTCAAAAATCTAAAAAATTTAAGAAAAATTTGCAGGTTCTTGCTATTTGCCCCCTTTATACACTTTTCACAAGTTTAAAAGTACTCATTTAGATGATAGTGCCCTTGAAATCGAATCAGCCCACTTTTCACCCTCGGAATGAAATTCTTCTCAAATAGGGAAATGTAAACATTTTAAGGCATAATGTCCTGGTAGTATAGCACAGAAGAAATAAGATTTTTTGTTTTTCAAGACAGTGTTTCTCTGTGTAGCTTTGGAGCCTATCCTGGCACTCGATCTGGAGACCAGGCTGGCCTCAAACTCAGAGATCCGCCTGCCTCTGCCTCCCAAGTGCTGGAGGCATGCACCACCAACGCCCGGCTAAGAAATAAGATTTTTTTTTAAAATTTACAAAGACAAATTGGATGCCAGCGAGGCAGCCACCTAAACCTGATGATCTGTGTTTAGATTCCCAGAATCCACACAAAGGTTCAAGGAAAGGAGCAATTCCACAAAGTTGCCGTCTGACCTCCACAGGCATCCAGTAACCACAAATGCACAGTATACCATTTTTAAGAAATATATAAATTGGTGAAGCTACATAATAAAAGCAGTTTAAGGGTATAGTCCATCATGGTGGGGAAATGACAGCAGGAGCTGGGGCAGCTGGTCTCCCTACATCTGTAGTCAGGAAGCATAGGGAGATGAATAAATTCATCTTTGTGGGTTTTTTTTTTAATTCAGTCCAGGACCCCAGCCCATGGAATGTCACTGCCTGCATTTAGGGTGAACCTTCTACCTTAATAAACCTAATCTGGAAACTCACTCACACATAGACCTAAAGGCGTGGGCGTTGGTGGCGCACGTCTTTAATCCCAGCACTGGGAGGCAGAGGCAGGCGGATCTCTCTGAGTTTGAGACCAGCCTGGTCTGCAAGAGCTAGTTCCAGGACAGCCTTCAAAGCCACAGAGAAACCCTGTCTTGAAAAACCCAAAAATATATTTTTGTTCTAAATCCTGTCAAATTGACAAGATTAATAATCATTACGGTTAGCCTTAACATATATATCTGAAAAGGCATATTTATTTCCTTAGATCAGGACTGAAAAGATGGCACAGCAGTTAAGAACACTCCCTGCTCTTACAAAGGAGCAGAGTTTGAATCCCAGCACTCATATCACGTGGCTCCCATCTTTACGCCAAAAGCTGCCGAGCCCCACCGCCACGTGTAAGCTTTACACCAGCTGCCCGCCCGAGTTAGGGCCCAAATGAATACACAGAGAGACTTGTATTAGGTTCAAAGCTGCTTGGCCAATGACTAGGATTCTCATCTGTTAGCTTAGTCTTAACTATCATAAACCTATATATTTTATAAGACTTATCTTATCAGACGTCTTATAGGACGCCTTATTGGCGTCCCTCCTTACTGGTGGATCACATCTTGCCGCTGGAACAGGAGCGGAAGGGAAAAGAGGACATACTTCCTCTTTCCTCGATTAGATATGAGTCTCCTTGGCATGTCACTTCCTTCCTGCCTGAATCATCCCTTCTCTACTACATTTCCCAGAATCCTCTTTGACTCCTAGTTCCATCTCACTTGCTGTCTCATTGGCCAAACAGTATTTTATTTAACAGTTAAGATAAACATACACAGTAGTACATTCCCCATCACCCATCCACCTGTAATTCTAGGGGATCTGATGCCCCCTTCCAGACTCCACAGGTGCCCACACATACATTCATGTATGTACACATACACGATTTTTAAATTCCTTAGGCTATGATACCAAATCTCAGTCTTTGACTTTCAGTGTGTTGCCACTGTAAATTGTAGTTCCAGTGGGGCATTTGTGCTTTTGATTAAAGGATAATTATAAATAATAGAAAATATGTTATTTTAACTTTATATGCATTAGTGTTTTGTCATGGGTGTCTAGTCCCCTGAATTTTTAATCGTTGCTCAGTTAATGTTACTAAAACTTCATTTGGATTCAACCTAAGGGAAAGTGAGAAAGATTTTATAGTAAAACAGTGAGATTTGTTTTTTTGTTCATTTGGTTGTTTTTGGTTTTTGTTTGTTTGAGACCAGGTTTCTCTGTGTTGTCCTAGCTGTCCTGGAACTCACTCTATAGACCAGGCTGGCCTCGAACTCTGGTTGCCTCTTCCTCCTGAGTGCTGGGATTAAAGCTGTGCACCACCACCACCACCACCTAGCTAGAGATTTGATTTTTCAAATTCAATTTGAAAGTAATGAATGACATTACAGATAATATTGTGATATAATCAGATCTAATTGTTTTTGTTTTAAGGATAACAAAGCAGATGTCATTTTAAAGTACAACGCAGATGAAGCCAGAAGTCTCAAGGCATATGGCGAGCTTCCAGAGCATGGTAATAACTAACTTGTCTTACGGTTTTTAGGTTATCTACTAGTGTTTAGGCATTGAAATTCTGTTGCTCACTCTTATTTATTTTTGTGCTTACATGATTAGAGTTAAGTATACCTGCTTATGCTTCATATTAAATACCATAGGAGAAGTTAATAAATTTCTGTTCCTGGTAATAGTGGATTTAATGAGAAATTACAGTGTCGGGCCAAAGGAATTATTTCTACCTTCAAGAAAAGTTGGCAATGCAGTGCAGTAGTGACCACCTTAGCATGCACAAAGACCTGGGTTGTTTATATATATAAATAGAAGGGACAATGATTAAGCAGCATGGGTTGTTTTCCCCCTCAAAATAAAAGCTGTCTATAACCTTATCAGAGGAAAAATATAATTTATACAGTTTTACAAGTCATTTTTTACATAGCAGTTACTTTTTTAAAAAAATTCTGCCTCCATTTTCTCATGAAAACATGACTTTGTAACTAGTAAGACCCTACTTCCTGGCATGGTGGTGCTCTCCTTTAATCCTAGCACTCAGGAGGCAGAGACAGGTGGATCTCTGAGAGTTCGAGGCCAGCCTGGTCTACAGAGTGAGTTCCAGGAGAGCCATAGCTATTACACAGAGAAACCCTGTCTCAACAACAACGACGGCGACAAAGAGATCCTGCTGAGAATTATAAAACTTTTTGCTGTTCTGATTTTGGAAATAGCAAGAAACTTGGGGGTGGAGTAGCATGCCTTAGGTGAAAATATGCTGTGTTCAGATATTTCTTCCTAATTAATCATTGGTGGGAATCAGTTGTTCTTTTCTTCTTAGTGTCTCTTTCTTTTCTTTTCTTTCTGTATGGTTTGTTTTGATCAGTATTAACTTTTTCTGGATACATAACTATCCCTAGTCCCAAAACCAGTAATGACTCATCTTTCTCCCTCCTAAAGTAACTTACTTTATCTTTTGTTTTATTTTGTTGTGTTTTTTTTTTGAGATAGGAAATAAAGTTGTTAGTATGTGCACAAACTTCTGAATCATACCTGGATGATGTAATTGCTTCAGAGTTAGTATAATTAGAGCTTGCCTTGCTAAATAGCCCTTGTGAACAAAAGAAAATTAAAATACTCTCAATGCGTTAATATTTTGCTCCATACAGCAAGATTAGTAGAAAGTTGGAAGCCAACATTTTGATTATATTATCAGTGTAAATATATATTTTTTTTTCTTTAGCTAAAATCAATGAAACAGATACCTTTGGTCCTGGAGATGATGATGAAATTCAGTTTGATGACATTGGGGATGATGATGAAGACATTGATGATGTAAGTAGATATACTCTGCTTTTTCTGGTTTCTGTTTATGAGTTACATACATACAAAGATGTTAGCCCTTTACCTTAAATTCTTATAGTACTAGGAACATAGACCATTTAAACGAGAGTATATATTTGGGGGTGGGAGAACATGAAAGTAAAGGCTTTTGTTCAGAAAGAGGAAGAAGTTCAAGGTGAAGAGATGAAGGATAGTGGGTGATTATTGGATAGAGGCAAAACATGCATGCGTGTATGAAATGTAACAATGAAAACCATTATTTAGCCCAATTGATAAATAAAAGTGTATTTTGAGACTTAGCCATGGGTTAAATCATAAGAATTGTTTAAGGTCAAACTGGTAGCAGGGTATGGTAACACATACCTGTAATTCTGGTAATTGGGAGGCTGAAGTCATATGATTGATTGCTGCAAGTTTGAGGTCAGCCTGGGTTGCAATACCAGCAAATACCAGGACAGCAGGGGCTACCTAGCAATACTTTACACCACACCCAGCTTTCCACATAATACAACCATAACAACATTTTAGGAGCTAGAGAAAATGTTTTCTTAGGCCTGGTGGTGGCCGCAGCGGTAGCGGTAGTGGCAGTGGTGGCGGCGGCACAGGTGCAGCACACCTTTAATCCCAGCACTTGAGAGGCAGGGGCAGGCTGATCTCTGAGTTTGAGGCCAGCCTGGTCTTCAAGAGAGTTCCAGAACAGTCTCCAAACCTACAGAGAACCCCTGTCTTAACTGTTTTATCAGTTAGGAGTGTATACTGTTCTGGTGGAGGACCAAACTATAGTTCCCAGATCACACATCAGGCAGCTCATAACTGCCTGTAACTCCAATTCCAAAGGCTCTGGAGCTTTTTTCTAGCTTCTGTTAGCAAACACGCATATATTTGTTTTATGTGCATTGATGTTTTGCTTGCATGTATGTCTGTGTGGTGGCATCAGATCCCTTGGAACTGTAGTTACAGACAGTTGTGAGCTGCCATGTGGGTGTTGGGAATTGAACCCTAGTCCTCTAGAGGAACAGTCAGTGTTCTTAACTTCTGAGTCATCTCGTCAGCCCCACTAAATACATAAATACACTTTAAAAAAACACAAAACCACCTGAACTCCAGTTCCAGGGGACTTCATGCCTCCCTCTGGCCTTTGAGGACCCTAGGCCCAGGTTTGATAGGCACAGAAAATAAATAACATTTTAAGGCATACTCCACAATAGAAAGTTGATTGGGGGGGGTTCTAGACAGGGTTTCTCTGTGTAGCTTTGGAGCCTATCCTGGCACTCGCTCTGGAAACCAGGCTGACCTTGAACTCACAAGAGATCCGCCTGCCTCTGCCTCCCGAGTGCTGGAATTAAAGGCGTGTGCCACCACCGCCCGGTCCGGCTGATTTTTTTTTTTTTAAACATTTTGAACGTAGCTTTCTTGGAGGATCTTGAGCCTAGACAAAAGCATGCCCCCCCTTTTTATGATGTAGCTGAGCAGTAAAGTACTTCCCTAGCATGTACAAGGCCCTGAGTAATTTCCTAGTCGTTCAAACAGAGAGGAGGAGAGGGAAAAAAGATAGGAAGCCATGAGTCTGTTAAAGGGAACGTGATGCTGAATTTATGTTCCCCCTTTTTTAAATATCTTCATTAATTTTGTTGTATGTGTGGGTTGGGTGCCCATGGAGATCAGAAGAGGACATCAATCAGAACTTGTGGAGCTGGGTTAAAGGCAGTTGTGATCCACCCAATTTGGGTACCAGTAACAAAACCACAGTAGCAGTACACAGTTTTAACCAGTGAGCCATCTCCACCCCAGAATTTCCATTGTTATGAACATTATTTTGAAAGATGTATTTATTTTGTGTGTATGTATGGAGTACACTCATGCTTAGGGCATACATGTAGAAGTCAGTTCATATGAATTCCAGAGAGCCTCAGGCCATTTCTTGGTTGTTTCTATTTGTTTGTTTGTTTGTTTTAAATAAGTTTGTTGTATCACCTGAGAACTCTGCTTTTTCCCTGGGATATTTATTTCTTTAACTATTTTCTAAGTGTTAAAAGATGTTCTATCTGTACTTCAGTAGACAAATGGAAACAAACTAGTTCTTTTTGGGGGGGGGTTCAAGACAGGGTTTCTCTGTGTAGCTTTGGAGCCTATCCTGGAACTCACTCTGGAGACCAGGCTGGCCTCGAACTCACAGAGATCGGCCTGCCTCTGCCTCCCAAGTGCTGGGATTCAAGGCGTGTGCCACCAACGCCCGTCGAAATGACCTCTTTTAAGAACTAGTTTCTTAGCTGGGCGTTGGTGGCGCACGCCTTGAATCCCAGCACTTGGGAGGCAGAGGCAGGACGATCTCTGTGAGTGCGAGTGCCAGGATAGGCTCCAAAGCTACACAGAGAAACCCTGTCTTGAAAAAAAAAAAAAGAGGTCATTTCCCTCATGTCTATTCATACTCCCCAAATATAAATCTCAAATCAGGACTGGTGAAGTGGCTCAGTGATTAAGAATGCTTATTGCTCATGCAGCAGGGGACCCTGATTTGGTTCCCAGCACCCACATGAGGCAGAACTGCCTGCGACTTCCACTCCAGGGAATCTGACATCCTCTTCTGCCTCCACTTGCACCCACATACATAAGTGATGGCACAGGAACAAAAGTTGAAGCCTTTTTTATTTAGTTTAAGACGTAAAATGTAAAATGAAATCTCAAATAAGCAATGCAAAAGGAGACAGAAAACCTAATTAAGAATATTCTCAGAGCCGGGTGGTGGTGGTGGTGCACACCTTTAGTCCCAGCACTTGGGAGGCAGAGACAAGCAAATCTCTGAGTTTCTGCGAGTTCGAGGACAGCCTCCAAAGCCACAGAGAAACCCTACCTCAAACGAGAGAGAGAGAGAGAGAGAGAGAGAGAGAGAGAGAGAGAGAGAGAGAGAGAGAGAGAATATGCTTTTAAATCCCAACACTCAGGAGACAGAGGCAGGAGTTTGAGGCCAGCCTGATCTACAAAGTGAGTTCCAGGACAGCTACACAAAAAAACCCTGTCGAGATGGGGGGGGGCGGAGAATGTCCTCAGGGGCCAGGCATGGTGGCCTTTAATCTTAGCACTCAGGAGGCAGAGGTAGGTGGATCTCTGAGAGTTCAAAGTCAGCCAGTGATATAGATAGAGACCCTTCTCAAAGCTAAAAAGAAGGGAAAAAAACACCAACAAAGAATATTTGGGTAGATTAGAGAAATGGCTGGATGGTTAAGAGTGCTTACAGTTTGGTTCTCAGGGTAAAATACTTACCAGGCACTCCTGAGAATCTGTATCCAGTTCCACAAAGTCCACATAAAGATGGCTACGGTAACTTCTGTAAACCTAGTGCTTTTATGGCAAAGTCAGAGGTGGAGACGGAAATCTCTGGAAGCTCGTAGGGTTTTATCAAACAAGGTTGAAAGTGAGGACCGATACCTGAGGTCCTCTTCCTACAACCCACCTAATACACACAACACTCACAGTAGTGCACGTGAATTGGCACACACATGTAAGAAGTATTTTTCCTTTGACTTAATGTTCTTTTCTCTTTCAGATCTAAAATGAACTCAACATTTTACATTCTGGTCCTGAAGATTGCCCTGCAAGTTTGAAATCTGGCCAGTCATAGACCTCAAGGAAAAGTTTTCACTATCTTGATTGTAATTTATTGAGGCAGACTTGATTCAATACTAAGATCTGCTTCTTTCAAAACTGATAATATCTTAAGTGATGTGTTAAGCCTACTTTGTTCATTTGATGTAATAGAACTCAACATCATGTAAGAAAAAAAAAAACTGCCTTTCCTACTTTGACCACTTCCAGTAAGTAAATGGATGTTTCGAATAAACCATTTGCCTTGTACTCATTATAAATTATGATTAAGCCCTCCTTTTGCATAGCTGTTGACTGTACAGTCTTTGTGTATATCCCAGTTGCCCAGAGATTTTGATACAAATGGAGACAGAAATCTGTTTTGTTGTTTTATTATATTTTGAGACAGAGTCTAACTTTGTATCTAAGGTTAGCTTGGAATTCTCTATAGTTCTAGTGGACCTCAAACTTGCTATGATCCTCCTTTCTTGACCTCCTGGGTGCTGAGATTATATGTATGTACTACCACACCTGGCAGAAATCTATTTAAAGGCAAAAATGATAGGTCTGCTTTGCATATTTAATTATGTGGCTATTTTATACTAGTTTTGATAACATGTACGTTCTTTTCATGAATTGTTTTGCAGTCATCAACTTATTGGGGGAGGAAAGGCATCTCCAAAATGTTTTTAGAAGCTAGATTTTAATACCAATTTTGAATTAAGGTCAGTAGTTGCAGAAATTGAACACTAGGTGGTGCTCAGTTGTCTAAACATTACTATTTTAATTATTGAGATGATTTCTTTTCTCAACTAGTGTGAGTAGGAAATTCCCAAACAAAGAAAAAAAAATGTTTTACTCACATGCATAGAATATTTTTACCAAAAAGAAAGATTGTATTTGAGTGATGCTTTTCGGGAGTCTTACATAAGCTACAATTCCGAGTACTTTATAAAAGTATAAATTAATGCTTCTTAAGGCTTTCCCTAAACTGAGGGGGAAACAAACATAACTTTGATATAATGGAATGACCCTGCAATTGTGAGGTCCAGGCAGGAGGATCGGTGAGTTCAAAAAACAAGCTTAGTGAAAAGATGTTTTATTTCTGAATCTAAGAGCTGTAGCCATAAAAAAGAAATAGCATGCTGCAGAGAATATTATATACTCCGACTTTGCATTAGGGACAAGTTTATTATGTAGACAGTTTGAGGATGGGGGGGTCCCATTTTCTTTCTACAGGGAATTTAGGTTTGCTTTTATTTAGAAGTTATTGCAGTTAGAGCTGGGCTAGTCGGAATTCACTGTACACACTGAAAGCATGCAAGTTGAAAACTAAGATCCATCATGCGGCTTGTGGACTTTGTACTCTACTAGCATCAGAAAACTTTTCATTAAAGAGAAGGATTGCATATTACTTGGTTTCACAAACAAGATCTTTTCCAATCCCTTTCTTAACTATAACTTCATCTCAGGTTTTCCTACACAGCTTCAGAATCTGAGGTGCCACAACAACAGTAGAAGAGATGAAGTGACATAGTCTGTATTTCTTATTCTGAGGAGTTTCTCAGTGATTAACTAGGCAAAGTGTATCTGAGACCAAGGGCAGAAACTAGCCCTGAGGTATTCATCATCAGTAATTAGATCTTTGGACCTTAAAAGTGTTTCACCAGCTGGGTGTGGCATACACCTGTGATCCCAGCACAGGAGGAATTGTTGAATAGTGGCCAGGGCTAAATAAGACAATGTCTCAAAAATAAAAACCATTTTTACATAGGAGATACAGCCCAAAAGCTGGTTTTTTACTTCCTGTAACAGGATTTGAGGGTTTTTAGAAATTACACATAACCCTGTTTCCTGTACCTTTTCTTGCCTAAATAGTAGCATTAATGAGTGTTCTTGTATTGATGATCTGGAGTCATACTGGTTAAAAGTAGATGAATACAGTTGTCACTAGTATGCAAATACTACCTGGAAGAGTTCTTTGACATGTATTTGGAATGGGAATTGAATAGTTTAACTGATTCAGTTTTATTTCAAATAAGGAATGGAAGTGGTCTTCAAGGAAATTTTGTTTTTTTTTTAATTTTTGTTTTGACTTCTATAGTACAACTCTTTAAGTAGTACTCAGAAAGAAAAATAAAATGTTTGAAATCTAAGAATAATGCTATTTTGTTTTGTGGAGGGCGGGTTGTTTTTATTTTTTGAAATACCAATAGATATGGCTGACTTTGAACTTTCTGGTCTTCTGTCTTTACCTCCCAATTGCTGGGGTTACAGCTGTGTACAAACATACCCAAGTAGAAAAATGTCTTCCTGCTAAGATGGTGTAACAAGATAATGCTCATCAATTTGATAGTCTCACACCAAGCTCTTGGTCTGATTCCCCAACACTCCATAAACGAACCAGTTTGATAGGGTCGTGTTTTTCATGTAGTTTATTCCACATAGAGCATGAGCATGGTGTGTTGATAAAGTGACTGAGTAACCACACCAAACGTCTGTGTCAAAAGACTTGCCAAGATGTAGTCGTTTGCCTGTTGAATCTTTTTTAAACATCTTAAGAGAATACAACATATTCATGACAGAAATTTTTATATTTTATTTGGAAAACAGCCATTGGTTTATTCATCCCATGTATGGAATCATAACTATAAGTTGTTGCTTAGAAACTTTGTGACTTGTAATGTTATTTAATCTCAAATGTCTTAGTCAACTTTAAATTACTATGTTGAACAACATCTTTAATAGGTTGTCAGTGTTGACTGCAGAGTAGCTGAGTGATCAAATAGGTAAAAGCATGTTTTAAATAGCTAGATTTCTACTCAATTTGTATTCTGTACAGATTTAATGTTGTCCATGATAAACTGACTTTACAGTTTATAAAGAACCAGAATGAATCCAGCTCTGTATGTTAGCCTGCCTTTCATAAAGATTAAAAAGATTTGTATCAGTGCATGATATTCATCCTGCTCAGTAAGGATAAGTTTCATTTATATACTAGTAGGACTCCCATAGACTTTTACACACTACCTTCATGTTTGTGGTTTACCTTAAACCATCATTTCCCATCCTTGTTCAGGAAAGAACAAAATATTAAGTTAAAATATTAACTTAATATTTAAGTTATATTACAAGTATAAGTAAACACAGGCTGGACAATGGCACACCCCTTTAGTCCCAGCACTGGGAGGCAGAGACAGGTCTGTGAGTTCAAGGTCAGCCTGGTCTACAGAGCCAAGTTCCAGGACAGCCAGGGCTACACAGAGAAACCCTGTCTTGAAAAATCAAAATAAATCAAGTGTAAGCACTAGACTGAGCAATTGAGACACTGTACTAGACACCTACCAGTCTTTTGAGGACTGTACTAGATAGAGAAAATGAAAAACATGGGTTCTGGGGTCAGTTGCCCTGTACCCCAATACTCAGTCAACACTAACAAGTATCTACCACAACCTTTCCAGCTTTTCTCAGCTTCACAAGCCTGGCATGGGATATAGGGAGGATAACAACACCTACTATAGAATTATTGGAGGGTTAATAACATTCACATGTGTGACACACTTGGTGTCTGCTTTTCACGTAGAAACCCAGACCATGTTAAGACAGAAGATGCATGTCTTCTGTGTTCACTGTGTACCATATATTGCTTGCATTCCTTAATTACTATGATAAAAGGAACGTGTAGAATATATATTTGTGTTATGTGGACACTGCAGTTGCTACCACACCATCTTTATTTAATTTGGCTGGTGGGAGTCTCCCAAGTTGCTTGCAGCTATTTTCTGGAATTCTAACCACTCTATATTTCTTCAGAGAAAGTTTATAGTTACTAATAATGCTGGCTGTGATAATGTGTCATTTTTATGCTTTAATGAGTCCTTTTCCTATAGATTCCCATTATGTGGAACAATGTAAAGAAAACATATGCAAACTACAGCAATTAGAAAATAAAACAAGAAAACAACCCAAGAGTGTATATAATTGGTTCTTTTCCTACTAATGTTTTTAACTATTTAGATGTTAAAGATGATTCTTTTCTGAAATTTTCTAGGTTTTTTTGCAGCTTAAGTGTGATGGATTAGAAAAAGGTGCACTTTATCCATTTCCTTTTCAAAAATCTGATTTTGATTGTTTGAACTGAATGGATGCATTCTATTAATGCTCAGTAAAAACCTGTAGTGAAAAGGACATTTTCAACAGTAAACCAACTGTCCAGACTGATCTCAAATTACTGAAACAATAGTCAGTGGACCTTTTGTGCTATGCAGATATTTATATGAGAACCTAGATTTCTGGCCTGCCTGTTACCTTTTACTCTGGTCTTGTGGGGAGTGAGTCAGGAAAGAGGATCTCACTGTATATCCTAAGTGGACCCTGAATTCCCAACACTCCTGCCTCAGCCTCCAAGGCCATGGGATTACAGACACACACCACTCACCATCCCCAGCAAGAGGCCCAGACCAGAAAGTTACTGAATTTGAATGTAAACTCTTTTTTTTCCTTCCCTGCACAGATACTAACCAGGTATCTGGACTTGCTTCCCTACACATCAAGCAAGCAAGCAGATCTACAGTGTGTGCCAGCTGACTTCAGAGTCTGACACTGCCTGGAGATTGTCACATCCCACAGGCTGAATTTGTCCCCAAGGTTGTGCCCCACCTCACACAGGTGCAGAGTATACACACCAAGATTTTGACCATTTCTAACAATAGGCCATATAATTCAGGATCCTCAAACTACTTTTTGGCATTCAGAGGATTCTGGGAAACTTTATTATAAAGGTTACTGTTGTGATTTAAGAAAAGTGCATGAGAAAGATGCCATGAGACAGAGGGGTTTTTTATTTAATTTGGGAAAGGGATCATAAAAAGGGAAGGGGGGAACAGCCACAAGGGACAGGAAAAGAGGGGTAAGAGGAAGATGACAGGTGGGCAGGGCCCTTTTAAAAGGGAACATTGAATGTGCACAGGTGGTGCTCTTAGTGGTTGCAGCTGAGGATGTATCCTGTCAGAACCCCAAGGACAAGCCTGAATACTAAGAGTTACTACAAAGGATTTTTAATTGCAGATGATATGATAGTCTACATAAGTGACCCAAAAACTCTACCAGGGAACTCCTACAGCTGATAAACACTTTCAGCAAAGTAGCAGGATACAAAATTAACTCAAAAAATCAGTAGCCCTACTATATACAGATGATAAATCCAATGAGAAGGAAATCAGAGAAACATCACCCTTCACAATATCCACAAGCAACATAAAATATCTTGGGGGTAATGCTAACCAAAAAAGTGAAAGACCTGTACAGTAAGAACTTTGAGTCTTTAAGAAAGAAAGAAATGAAAGAAGATACCAGAAAATGGAAAGATCTCTCATGCTCTTAGATAGGTAGAATCAACATAGTAAAAATGGCAATCTTGCCAAAAGTAATCTACGGAGTCAACACAATCCCCATCAAAATTCCAACACAGTTCTTCACAGACTTTGAAAGAGCAATACTCAACTTTATATGGAAAAACAAAAACCCAGGATAGCCAAAACAACCCTGTACAATAAAGGATCTTCTGGAGGCATCAACATCCCCGACTTCAAGCTCTATTATAAAGCAACAGTTCTGAAAACAGCTTGGTATTGGCACAAAAATAGACAGATAGACCAATGGAATCAAATTGAAACCCCTGATGTTAACCCACTCACCTATGAACACCTTATTTTTTACAAAGATGCTAAATCTGTACAATGGAAGAAAGCATCTTCAACAAATGATGCTGGCACAACTGGATTCAGACATGCAGAAAATTGCAGATAGATCCACATCTGTCACCATGTAAAAAACTTAGGTGCAAATGAATCAAAGATCTCAGCATAAATCCAGCCACACTGAATCTTCTAGAAGAGAAAGTGGGAAATACCCTTGAACGAATTGGCACAGGAGACAGCTTTCTGAACATTACACCAGTAGCACAGACATTGAGATCTTCAATTAATCAATGGGACCTCCTGAAACTGAGAAGCTTCTGTAAGGCAAAGGGCACAGTAAGACAAAACGACAGCCCACAGAATGGGAAAAGATCTCCACCAACCCCACATCTGACAGAGGGCTGGTCTCCAAAATATACAATGAACTCAAGAAGCTAGCCACCAAAACACCAAACAATGAAATTAAAAAGTGTGGTGCAGAACTAAATAGAGAATTCTCAACAGAGGAATCTGAAATGGCTGAAAGACACTTAAAGTGCTCAAAATCCTTGACCATCAGAGAAATGCAACTCAAAACAACTCTGAGATACCACCTCACACCTGTCAGAATGGCTAAAATCAAAAACACCAATGACA